AATTTTATTTTAATTTAAAAGTATTAAAAATTTATCTTTAAAGTCTAAGGCCGATGTTCAAATTCTGTTCTTATTTCAAGATCGTCTTAAGTAATGTCTTAAAATGCTAATACGGCCCTCTGGTTGGTTTGTAGCATATTAAAACTGTAGCGGAAATCGAGATACCATGGATCGCGGAATACCATGGGTCATCGATTGTTTAACATAATCTAGAATGTTTTAATTAATACTACTGGTACAAAAAAACTGCTACTTCAATTTAAATAAATATTATAAAGGACATATAAGAGTCAAAAAATATTGATAACTGAAGGTGTTACATTAATAAAGTACAATAAGGTTTAATTAAAATTTAAATAAACATATGTATAGACATTACATGTTTCGGCTTCTTATTAAGCCCTCTTCAGATAATCCTTAAACATTTAGCAGTTCCTTAAGCAGTGCTTTCCAAGAAAACGAAATATCCTTCTCAATCGATTTGCAAGTCGAATGTTTGAACCATCTAAATATTGCATACTCGTATGTTACAATATGATATTATTTGTAATATGATTGAAGAAAGCTCATTTCAAATTTATCTATCTTTACACACTCATCGTACACACGAACACCTCAAATGTGATGGTCAAAAATTTAAACAATTAAAAACGTAGACACAACATCTAGTCAAATATATATAAAAATTCATAGAATAAATTATGAGTATTAAAAAATGAGTAAAATAAAATTATTCATAGTCTAAAAATTAAAAATTAGAAATTGTAAAAAGCTGACATTATAAAAGACTGATCTAAGATGTTATCAGTATTTCTCAAACCTTATTGATTTGAATTTTCGATAGATTGATATGTCATCATTATACACAAAGTCAAACTTTGTTTACAATAAACATATATTTTATTTATATACTTTATCAAAACTTTCCGTATCGGTTCAAAGATTTAGACTATTGATTTGTTTTTTTAATGTTTATCATTTCCGAGATCAGTTGTTTATTGTAACATAGTTCTTCGTCTAAAACTTTGATGTTATCCAATTGAAATTGTGTTGCGTCTGCAACACCTATATTCAGTCAGTTTCAATTTTCATCACTGTTATTTCTTGCTATTCTACTACATATTTTGTGTACTTATGGTACCCCGGACATGGAGCACCATGAGTCTCATTTCTTAAAAAATACATTTTTATTTTTTTCTTAAAAACTAATAAATATTTGCTAAATATACTTGTTAAATTTTAAAATATACATTATGCTTTAATTATGCTTAATAATTATTTTGAAAAAAATAATACAAAAATTTTTATATTTAGTGCTTAGTAGATGTACTTTTAAGAGTTTGAATTTTTTTGATTCATGGTGTCCTGGTCTCCCTTAAGACTTAAAACGATCTTGAATATAAGAATCGACTATGAATACCGCCCTAAATCTCTGAGACATTTTGAATAATAAAACTAAGAATTGTATTACTCAAAAAGAATTAAATTGGAAAGTCAAGATATACGTCTCAGTGACCGGACATGTACCTATTGGCAATTACATACAATTTATTATTATTAATCTCAAATGATTTTAATTACAATATTATAATTTAATTTTGTATTTAAAGATTATTTTAAAAAGCATTTGAAAGTAATAATGATACAAACAAGTATAAAGTTTCATCCGTCACTGGGATATTTACCTTCAATTATTAATTTTTTATGCACTTGACCATGGCATCTTGATAGTATCTCTGTGATGGTCATGTGTGTACATCAATCAAACGGATTTTAACCTCCGGATGCATCGAAACGAGACGGAGACACATAGTCGGCACATGTGTCACCGTAAGATCACATCCTGGGTGCCGATCGGCGTTGTCGTCGCTTTGGCCGTGGCCGAATTGAAAATAAATACGGTCTCGTTCGTCGTATCTGCGTATCGCCGGACCCACCGACCGGCATAAACGATAACGAAAATAGCGTTTAGCATTTAGCGCACCCGGTATATGTATGCTAGAGGCTGTATGCAGATCCTCGAATGACCGAGGTAGTGCCAAAAACGAAAAGATCACCTTTCTTCCGTCCTTGTTAGTACATTTGCATCGCACAAACTTGCTAGGTCTTTCGCGGACGCTGTGCATCCTAACGAAGTTCGACCGCACTTCCGAAATGCCATGGTTGCATAGTTGAAAACAGATCAACAACACAGTATATAAATAAGCATGCACTGTCATGATATTCTTATTATATTTATTTTAATATAATATATAATTATATATCTTTTTTAATATATTACAGATCTATAAAAATTTAACTAAAATGCAATTTTTAAATTTTTTAATTTTTGCACCCATAAGTGTTTTGATCCTTTAAAATTATTTGTAAGAAATAAAGTAGTGTTAAATATATTATTTTCATTTCAATGAATAATACATACTAGAGATTGAAATAATAAGAGATAATTTTCTTCATTAAAGCCTGGTTGCACCAACGTTACTTTGACTTTAAGCAAGACTTAAAATTCTCTCTGTCTCGTTTTAAAGCGAAAGAGAGACAGAAAGCTTTAAGCCTTGCTCAATATTAGTGCAATCCGGCCTTATAATCTTATAATAATTTAAAAATTTTATACGTATTTCTATTTTCTTTAGGTGACGTAAGTTTTAAAGCTCAATTGACGTCACTATCTCCATTGTAAATAGATATTTACTTGGAGTCAAGTGGAAATCAATTATTCATTTTCTCAGAGCCTGACGGCTCGATAAATTCTCGCACTGACATAATTTTCGACAAATGCATCTAATTTTTATTCGCATATTACTTAACTCATTTTTTATTTTTGTCTTTTGTTTAATTGTAATTTTCTAATAAATAATTTTGTAACTTAAAATTTAATCACTCAATTTAAAATGTAACCCTCTTTCAATGAAAAAAAATGGTTTTTTTTTGTCCATCAACATCGATTTTCAAAGCAAAATTACTGAAAGTAGTAAACCAGATTTATAGTTGCCACTAATCGTTCGTATACTTAAGCTGACTTTTAAAATATTTTTTACTATTTTTAAAACAGTGTTAATGGCGTGATACAAACACTACGCTTTACTTCACGACGAGAATGCATTTGACAAGAGTGGCCTTCACTCAAGAATCCACGCGTCACGTACTGGCAACGTCAATCTGGCTTAACATGTGTTTCATCACCTGCCAGGTACCGCATGCTTAGTGTCACCTGCTTATTTATGAATAATAAAAACTGCTATATATGTTAACATTAAAAAAAAAAAGATTAAATCACTTTTAATTGTGGTATTCCTAAATCACGCGATAAGTATGCAGACTTCAAGGTTCAAGGGGAGCAAAAATATATCAAGGGTGCTCATTGACAGGGAAACGTAAACTACGACGCGAGAGGACAAGATTGAGCAATCGAACGTCTTTTTTAGAATCGCATCTGTGCGTGGCTGAATCACGCGTGTATATTTAAAAAAACGACATATAACTGCATATATTTAGAATTAGAGTAAATTGCCGGCCATTGGCAATCGCAGCGCGAGTACGCTACGTATACTATCGTCACCGGACACCGCGTGATTCACTTTTGTAAATCGGCGGCAGTGACTTTCACGACTCTGATAACGAGCGAGTATCGACACCTCGTTATAGCTCTTCGCGGGAAAAAAATAAACTGCTTATTCGTAAAGTGTATTAGAGGTTGATTTGCAGTCGCTGCGCCACTCCGGAAATTAAGCGACGCCCCGCTTTTGTACTTCACGCAACGAATAAATAGAGCACGTACACGGTAACGACGCATCTGTATTACGGTACTGCAACTTCTCTCTCACATTAAAATGAGTCATTGCTCAACGAAACAGAAATAATGCAGGCGGCGTTGATTTATGTCGCGGAACGCGGATAAAACGCAAACGTCTAGCAAAACTGAACGAGTTGATTGAAGTGAGCCAAAGAAAAGAAAATGTTCTACTGTCAGTTACTCGTACTGTCTGTCGCAAATAAAACGATGATGAATTCTAAAGCCTAAAAATATAATTAAAAGTAAGTTTCAAAAATATAATTGAATAATTTCTCACATTATACTAATACGTACACATTTACTTAAAGGAAAACTTCTATCACTGAAAAAAATTTCCGGTTAAAAATGAACAAATCAGAAAAGATTCTGATCATAACAAACAAAATTCAGGTTATCCCAACTAAAATTATATTAGATGCAACCAAAAAATTCTGATTTGTCTATTTTTAAATAGAATTCCAATTAATACAATCAGACTCTTTTTGCCAGTGATCATATACACATCCTCGTAGAAGCCATTTCAATTTGTAGATAAGTTAAAACATACGCCTAATATACTTCATAAAACACATAAATCTCATAAATCTACACAAGGGACTGTTCCCTCAAGTGTTCGAGCGGAAACGTGAATGCGCGCAATTTTATATTAACGTTATATAACGCCGTTATATTTCTGCGCAATGTTCTTGGAACTCGTGTTTTCCATCCCTCGAATACGACATCATCGTACGGGTATTGTAACGTCTTAAATCCGAAACGTGTAATCTCGAGTGCATGCGAACTTGCGTCGAGCTGCAACGAAGGTATCAGTGAATGCTGCGGCGCGCACATTCTGTTCTCTTCCCGTCTTTCCCTCATCTTCCTCTTCACGATGGACCCGTTCGACCAATCGTCTCTCGTTGGCGGGGGTTGTGCCATAAATGTCGCGTGGCTTATCCCAGATCCCGTCACCAGATCGGCGCCACCGTGTACATCACCAACGATATACTAGTCCACACTTTTGACGGCAGCAGCCCAGTCTAAGGTCCAATCCCCGAACCGAACGGTCGCCCGAAATACTTAGGTAAAGGTCTACATCCTTTCTCTCTCTCTCTCTCTCTCTCTCTCTCTCTCTTTCTCTCTCTCTCTTTCTTTCTCTCTATATCTTTCTCTTTTTCTTTCTCTCTCGCTAATTGAGACAGGCGAAAACAATTTTTTTTTTTCTGAGAGAGAAAAAACCGAATAACGGAAGTTGCGGGGAAAAGTTAGCTGCGACGAAAATTGAAAAAGGGGTAACAAAGGGAAGAGAGGGTGATATAAGCGCCATTGTGAGTGCACCTAAGGGAGGAGAGCAAGAGGCTTCCTCTCAATCACGTGAAAAACGGCGAGATTTTACCGAACGCGTCCGCGATCTGCTGTGCGACAGTGAAGAAAGAAGCGCCTGGTCAGACGTGGTCCTCCTGCGCTGCCGAATTGCATCGCATATCTTTAGTAGGAACTCGCTCTTCCACTAACCCACGCAAGACAGCGTGCTAATCACGTTAACTCTCAATCATGTTCTCTACATTTTATTCTATTATTTTACGTGTGTACTTACAAGTATGTGTATTCATAAACTAATGATGTCACTAATTTATCGAAAGCTTAACCCTAGCAAACCACTCATGGGTCCAATGGAACCTTGCGATTTTTTACATTGCTGTTTTACATTTCTTTGAAGCATTGTAATTAATTGAAAATAAAATATATTATTTATTTAATTCGCATCTATCTGTCCTTGTCTGACTTCGAGATATAAATTTCACACGTTTTGAGCTAAAAAAAAATACGTATTCAGTCCAGAGATATACCGTGACGAAGTTGCAGGGTTTCGCAGATCCCGATGTGACCAGAAATAACAATAGCTTACTAGGGATAATAAGTTGACAAAACAATTTAGGCTAATAATTTTAATTAACGCATTCTTGATGTACATAATATTAATTATGTATAGTATGTAGAAAGTAATGTATATAAACAGAGAGATTGTAGAGTATTAATTTTATCATTATTATCACGGTTTATTAAGAGTTTAATAATAAATTAACGATAATTATATATATTCGAGATTCATTGTCTTAGAATTCAGAATTTTAATCTAATTTGATTAATCAGTATAATAGTTTATATTATATAATAGTTTATATGTTATTTTAATATATGTTATCTTTACTAGCAAGAGCGGTGTCAGTTATGTATAATCGCGACCTCATTCGTGATCTCATGTCTAGGACACTATTTTTGCTTTGCGTGACCAAATTGCTACCCGTTGCTATTTAAAATGACGTTCCTCTCTGACAGCTGTATGTTTAAAATCGAGTAGGAATCGTGCAAAAATATGCGAGTATTTCAGAAAAATAAATAAGTAACATGAATTTATACACTTGGATCTGTATCGCAATATATGTACCTACTTTTTCATATAAATATTCACGCGTTATTGTCAATTTTTTTGTAAAATTGCATTTACATTTTAAATAAAAATTTGTTGATTGCATTATAAGAGATTATTCAATTATTCGATAATTTATCCCCCTGTCAGAAAAAGCAAATTTTACTTCTATATTGGATATATTGATATTTGGCATTTTTTTTAACTATTCGATATATATTATTATGTAATTAAAAATGTGAGATATATACGCGTTCTACAGATGATCAAGTGCAATTATTTTATTTTCAAATAAAATTTCCAAAATTCAAAGAAGGAAAAATTTTTAATGTGTTTTATTGATTACAATAAATTTATTATCGCCATGGGATTACAAAATTAATATTAATCCATCACGTCGCAAATCAGAAACACAAATTATTTTGCATTTATAAATTTATAAGAATCTACGAAGATAATCTGCTCTTAATAGACGATGATTTCATTACAAAAAAATCGCTTGGAGTACAAAAAAGTAAAATGCCTCGTGTACGAGGCATCTCTTGAACTTTAAGACGGTCCTTGTTAACGTCAGAAATTTATCGTCTCTGGTCTTCATGCCGATTGTATTCTCGCCTCCGGTGAATTCTAATTTCGTGAAAGCAAGACTTGGCAATGGCAACGCAGCGCGTCGTCTACGGTTTCCTTTTTATTGCAATACCAATTTGAGACTCGCGCGGCACAAGCGCGCCACGCCTGACGATCGTCGAGCTTATGCCAATCGCCCGCAAGTGGTGGATTGTTTATAATAATTGGCAAAGATTTGTTTAAAGCTTACATAACGCAAGCGCGCGCACGATTGCGTATTTATATCGCTGGCCGAGAATAGCCGATCCGTGCGTTCCGCCAAGACCGATGCACGTCTGCACATAGCTGTTCCCTTTCTACTGTTAAAACTCAAAACAATTTATCTGTTAGTCAAGAAATCGTCGCGACTCGAGCTTTGTGTTCCTATCGACTTTTTCTAGTTTTCATTCAGAAGGAAAAATCTCGCCGAGCTTAAACGGCACGTCTGATTGGATTGGGGCATTATTATTTTTTGATCGCGTCGAAATCAAACTTAACACTGTTATAGATATCTAAGTGATTTAACGTCTATCATAACAATCATAAAATCTAATCTAGAAATCAGTTTTGTCGATTTAAATATACAAAAAAACGCGTTCTTAGCTTTCATTTAAGATAAACTTTGACTGATCCGCCAAAGTTATGGTTGTGGTATAAAACTGAGAATTATTTTATTGCCATTATTATCTCGTTTGTATAAAACTTTACTCATCGTCTCTATTCAAAAGTGCATAAAAAAATTAACATTTTTTTTAATTTGTCATCTTTTTTTTTTATGTTAAAAATGGACATTTTTAAAAATCTGTCATCTTTTCTTTTTATGTTAAAGTAACTTTTGTAGGGGGGACGAGGATCTATTTTTAAAGTTTTACAACTTTTCTTTGTAAGATTTATTTATAATTCATTATTTCATCGTAATTTTTCCTCAAAATATGACACTATTCCACGCCATAGTGACTTTTTTATCCTCTTAAAATTGAATATTAATAGAAATTATGTCTCTCGCATATAAACTCATAATAATTTTGCTCGAAAGATATAAACGAATGTAAAAAAAAAAATAGTGCATTAAATCAAGATTTATTTCATGGAAATTCGTGTGAGCGATGATAATCGCATAATGTTACATATACATATATTCTGGCTAATTGTGAGACGCTGTCGATCACTACTACTTTCCAAAAAACACACCAAATCAATAGAAAGTTAAAATGATTTCATTTTGCCGTCATAAACGTCAAAGTAATGATTTTTTTGTTACAAAATTTGCTATTTATTGACTGATTTAATAATACTATTTGTTGACATTAAGAATAAAAATGTAGTTAAACTTTGATTTTTTGTTAACTTTTGTGTATTCCTTGGATTCCCACGCGACTGTTGTTTTCGACTGAGTAACTTACTGCGGTTTTTTCCGTGGTGCCAATAAAGTTTCAGCACATTAATCTTGACCCCGCCGGAATTTTAAAATCCAAAATCATGGATAATTTCCTCATAAACCCATATAATAATCCATATATATGTGTACTACATTATTCGATGTATACGAGTCATCGCATGACACCATATGGCGTCATACCGGCGCTAATCTAAAGATTAATGTAGGGATGTGCGAAAGTTTTCCTTCGTGTGATTTCCTTCGAGACAGTCACGCGGATTTCGGGAGCTTTTAACAAGTCACGCGAGCTCTGCAGAATCTAAAGAAGCGTGCACTTAGGAAATTCGCGTTCGACCGCCCACCTCCTGCCAAGTCGTCAACATTAGTTTCTAACACTAGCTAACACTTTCCAACTCTGCCGCGTGCACAAGTCACTTTCATTTTTAGAAATAATCGTTATAATATTTAATCATGAAATAGACACTTAATAATAATTCTGTTCATCATACAACATTATATTCTCTAACAAAAAAAATTTTTCTTCAAAAGTAATATAACAAGAAAATTATTTTTAAATTATGAAGGATTGAAAAATCTAATAGACTAAATCTAAAACTGTTTGTATGTGAATATATAAACAAATGAATTTATCAACCAGAAAATTTTTACTACGAACGAAAATTATGTTCCTATGGTATAGCTTAAACAGTGCTTGTTATATGTAAACAATTTTATTAATATATTTTCTAATATCTAGAAGAGGGCGATTTCAAAAGTCGTCCGGTAACAAAATTCGTTATAAAAATTATAAAGTTACTTGAGATGATAAAGACAACTTATTTTATAAAGGACTATTTTATAAAGTTTATTCTCAAATTAATTCAAAGTGGACTTTACTTTAATAGGATATATAATGTATTATTATTTAATCAAGCCGTATTATGTCAAGCTTGGCTGTCTTGCGAGATCGCGTGGCGCGGGATTTTCAGCCAAGAATGCTAAAACGACAGGTGGAAGCGCAGTCGTAAACCGTAATCTTTTTGCAACGCATTGGGAGAGTCAACTAAAGCTTCGCACGTGTAGCAAGAAGAGTGCCAAAACCTCTTGATTATTTAATTTTCTCGTCACATGTCTTTCATGGCGCATATAATGACGTATTCATAAGACATGTATACGCGAATTTTTGCATTTTCAGTGAATCACAAAATTATTAAATGATAAAAGAAAAGAGAATTCTAATTACGGTATTTTTAATTGTACGTAATAGATGTTTCTAATGAAAATAATTAATATTATTTTTCTATAAATTATTAGATTATTAGATTATAAGATTTATTTTAATATTTCTTAGATTCTATTCCTAGTTCCGATTTTCCAAAAAATTATGCCATATTGCGTATTAATATGAAAAAATTATTAATATAATATTTATAAATCGTTTTAAATAAGCGATTAATTATTACAATTAAAATATTCATGTGATTAACATTTGCTTATTCATAAAAAAACAATAACTAACACATTAACCAAATTGAAATGTTTCAACGATAATTAATTTAGTTTTCAAATCGGCTGTAAGGATAGTGAGACGTATTGCAGTTTTTGGATCTATGTCCCAGATGATTCGAACGCGCCATATATATTTTTAGAAGCCATCTAGATTACCACGTTGGTCCAGATGGGGATTTAATCTACCTTCTCTACCTCGTGTGCCTTTACCACGCGATTTATATCTTTCGACTGCGTTTTTCTTCCGGCGGTTCCTGCATTACTCGACTAAGCGTAATAAAAATGCAATTTCTCGCGACATTCTCGTCTCCTGACTCAATTTATATTTATATTACTTGCTGCTGCAATATCTAATTTTTAGAAATGTTTGATAAATATCTCTTAATTCTTAGCTTTGACGTGAAAATGTGCGCAAATTGGTTAGCGTGTCAAGCACTCGTGACTCGATCCATTTTCATGCGGATACGATTTTAAGGTCAAGATATTCTCGGATGATCTAGAGTGGAAGTAGCTACGATGTGAATCAAAGAATTAAGATTCCGAATACGCAACTTTGGAAATTTTGTTTTTACACCTAATCCAGTATATTATGAATTTTTAATATTTATTATAGAAAGATGTTTTAAGAATAATGGTATAAAAAAATTGAGTTCTCCAGATAGATATTTATAAAGTGTAATCTTCATACACCCTTAACTCACAAGGCATAAACATAACGAAGAACATAAAAGCGAAAATTTGTATTATATTCGTTCGTCGAGGTCTAAATTCGCAAGGTTGGAGTTGCCATAGCTGCGGCGAGGTTTTACGAGGTCATTATCGTTGGGACACACTGGTACCATAAGTCTCCAATGGGGGTTCGCGAAAATCGGTCAAAGTCAGACGGAGACTCGTTGACTATGCTGCCTCGAGTGCAGCTTCTTTCAACGCTTCCACCTGTTACCAACTAAAAACGGATCGGGGCCCGGGCAGTCTAAATATAGAGACCGCGAGGGCGCGAATCCGGGACTCTTGCGTCACGGCGCGTCGCTTGTGGGCGCCGCGACGCCTTCCTTTTTGCTTACTCGAGAATGCAGACTGGAGAACAAATCACGAGAACTTTGAGAGCCCATCTCTCTCTCTCTCTCTCTCTCTCTTTCGGATGATTTTTAAATGTTCGAAGACTGAATTAAAGCATTCAATGCAGCAGCCTAACAC